TGGCTCGGGAGAAAGTTCACACCCTGTGGAGTTGTGAGCCACACAATTTCATGTGAGCGGCACATATTTTCATATTCAACGGGGATCATTTTCTTTTGATTAGAATATTACTTGGCTTTCTTGAGTGAGCCGATTCAAACTTCACTCAAGGTCAGTTGATTGACTCAGACATCTTTTCACCTCTGTGTGAACCCACACTTTGCTTGACCCTCTTCATTTTGAATGTTCAAAATAAAAGGTAGAGGAAAAATGTGCGAGTCGTGCATGTGAATGGAAAGGTCTGAGTCGAGTATGGGGTTGTACTGTTTTCTTTTGAACTTGGTGTTTGGTTTGGTGTGCAGGTAGGTAAAAAGAGATGCTTGAAAAGGAGATTGATTTTGCCTATTGGAGAAAAGGAAAATGGTTCTTTTTTTTTTACTTTTCACATGTCTGCATGTCACAAAATGACTTGTTGTTTTGAAAATCGTCAATTTTTTGCGCACTGTAAACGAACTTAATTGAAATAAAGTAGATAAGGTCAAACGGACTTAGCCTTTTTCCCGAGGATTGACCCTTTCTATCCTGAATGACCTTATTTACCTATACATGTCCAAATGATTGACATTTTTTATCTCTTCTGATTTCTTTTCATCCAAGTTACCCTGAACTTAGGATAAATGAGAATAACTAAAAGCTACTTGAGGTGAACACATTTTTTTTCTTCGGGAAACATCTGGGGCGGGGATTCATTGCTTTAGGAGACGGCCTTGTTATCGATCAAGAGTGGACCGTTCTGCGGGGGGGTACTTTGCCGATTCGGTGGAGACGACACAACTTTTGAAATCCGGGCTTTGAGCTCGGGCGAGGAGGAGAAGTATCCCAGAGTCCCCCAGACCACTTCCTAGAGGGAGAGACATGCAACACTTCAAGCAATGCACTTGATCAAGAATTATCCGCAAAGCAGACTGTCATCTAAAAAGATTGGGAATGTATGGAGATGGATGTGAGCGTGTCGAATCTTAGGTCTGTAGTAGGATGGAATGAATGACTTTAGTAGCGCGTCTCATCAAGTCAAAACTAAGGCAGTCTGACTACCTTGTCGGATGCATTAAGGTTATTTTCGAAATCCAACGCCTTGTTGGCGGTTGTTGGATTGTTTTGTGGTGTTCGACCTGAGGCGATCGGATTGTTTTTTGATCTTGTGTTATTGGATGTATGAGATGATTATTTGAATTCTTTCGATTATCATTGCTGATTGGATGTGCGTTCCATCGACTACGGTCGAATGCGTTTGATGTAATTATGTATGGTTGATATAATTTTCTTCGGACTATGTGTTTGAGGGACTAGGATTGAGTGAAGGGTTTCACGCTTGGTTGAGACCGTCCTAATCGACTGACGTCCGCTTTGTACTTAGGAGATCAGTGCCTTAAGGAACGAAGGACGCTCGGGTCCGCTTGGCGTTAACCAAGCATATCTATACTATAACAAACGAGCAAATGCCATCGGCTGACCTACATCTGCAACTGCATTTAAAAGCTTTCGCACGTGGGTCAATAGCTCGGTAGGGATACGCCCCTAAGGGTGGTGACGACCCCTTAGGGAAGGAAAGTTTATGCCCTGTGGGAACCTATCCTGTCGTAGGACAGCGCGATGTACAGCTGGCGCACCGGGCTAGAGCGACGAAGGAACGACGTGACCGCAACCGTCTTGGCGGCTCGGGGGATTATTCTGCGGCATTCTCAAGTTATCTCTTGTTTTGTTTTTGCTTTAACTCCTGCGTGACATGGTCGGGAGGACTCTTGCGTTTGCGAAAAAGGCGGGAGCCGATGCGCTCGACAACGCTGCCATCCATCTATGTTGCATTGTTGACGTGGCACTGCCCCTATCTTCATTGATGATGTGATGCATGCCACATGTTTCTGTTGACGTGGCATTGGCCACGCTATCTAAATGAGGTGACGGGTTGCAACAAGGAGGAAGATCGGGATCTGTGGATGAGTGGGATCGGGTATTCACGTGAGGTTGACGTCATTACTATATTCTGCTGTTGTATTCATTGTCTTCATGAGATAAGAGTGCCATGTGGCACTTCTATGGGATCAGAACTTAGGACATGGAGGGAGAAGAAGCCCGAAGAAGGAGAGGGATTGGTTGGGCTATTATCGTGTGGTCTTTGATTACTTCTTCCACCTTCTCCCTTGTCTATCCTCCCTCCACTCTCTTCGTCTATTAGTAACGAGATACTGTTTCAGATATCACTTAGCTGGAGACTTTGTGCAGATCTGAGACTACGTGTGGTTTGACGTATGATGAGTATCTGCCAGGCTGGGTTCATTAGAAAGCTTTGAATTTGTTCTGAACCCACCTTCCTGTCGTGGATTGCTTCTTTCATTCTTGGAAAAGGTCGAAGAATATGTCTGTTTTTTTTTTTTTTTTTAATAGCAGGACTCGAGTTCATTGGTGGGAAGGTGCACCAGGCCCTGAGCTGGTTCGGATTCTTATTACGAGTTCCGCCTCGCTTCAACCCCTGTCAAGACTGTTGGGTGCTCTGCCCATGCACACAGGGGGGGAATCCCTCAAACCAGATACCAAGGCACTGATTCTGTTTGACGGCTTGTTGCGTTGTTTATTTGGAGCTGTTCTCTGAGTCCTCCCTGATTGTATTGCAATCAGACTCGACTTCTTCACACTTGTCATGCATGCAAACAGCGAAACAACAAACTGGTGACATGCGCCCACACAGTACTCAAAATATCGTAACCAGGTAGGAGTTCTCTTCAACTGGCTATAGCGACTGAGCGCCCACACAACTCACTGTTCGCACTCTGGATCACCCTGGATGTCCCACACGCAACACTCTACACGCAACACACACACACACACACACGCTACTATAGCTATGGCAGTTATGGCTGGCACTATCCTATCGCTACACTACACTTCACTGCCCTCTTCGTCTTCGGGCGCACTGCAGACCTCCTCGCACAAGCTGCTGTGGCAGCGCTTCCACATGGCATCCGCAGGAATGACCCAATGGCTGGGCGCAGCCTCTTGATTTATACTTCTGCGTTGCGTTGGTCTGCCCTGTATCCCTTGTCCCACGATGTGCACACAGTCCCAGACGGTACTTGCTGAACAGGACCAGACTGACTGACTGGGACTGCTGACTGGGCTAGGTGGACTACCACCACTTGACCACTTGCCTCTGCTGAACACAGGCCAACTCCGAAAGGCCACTTCTAGAAGTCTCGAACTTGACCTTTCGGTGCTGTAGCAGCTACGACTTTGCCCTTTCAGGTAAGTAGCAGCTACGACCTTGACTCTTCAGGCATCCTACAGCTACGACTTCGGAACTGTCTAGACTCCTACTCTACAGGTCTACAATTCGATTCCCTTCTACCCTGTGACCTACGAAACCCTGCCTACCACTGGCGGTCCTACAGGTCGCGGGTTCAAGTCTACAGGTTGACATACATACTGTACACAGATAAGATGGGTAACTAGGGATAAAGCCCTGGGATCTGCATTCGCTACTGCGAACTGGTGAATACCGTTTCACTCCCGCCGGCCTAAATTCGAGGTCCTCCGAGAAAATTTCAGTCCAAGGCAAGACCTTTACCCTTCTGCTGTCTCTCATAGGCCCGGGCTATATCGGGAGCTGTCTCTAGAAGTTCAAATCTTGTAAACCAGCGGTCGTCTTCCGGTTCTTGATAACTGAAATGAACCTTGTACTGTTTCTGCGGACGACCCCTACCTCCAGTTCTGAAAACATCTTCAGCCACTATACCATCTATATCGTATTTTCCATCCATATCCGTTGGGATCATCGATCTACGGGATGGAAACTGATCACTTATCTGACAAGGTAGCAGCTTCGATGCGTGGAAAACTGGGTACGTGTGGAGGTGTGCTGGGAGTTCTATTATAGGACGGTCCATCTTCGCCGCCCTTGACTTCCAGGACAGGCCATGGCCCTCTATACGTGGGCAATAACTTCTGCGAGATGTTCTCCTCAGGTGCAAACTCTTTAGAACTAACCCAGACTAAGTCGCCTACTTGAAACTGTGAAGGGCGACAATGTTTGTTCGCTTGCTCTATCATACTATGCTGGGCTTTCCTGAGGTTTTCTACAATACTAGCTAGTTCTTTTTCGTGTTGTACAGCAAACTCCCTGGTCCCGGGCGGCAATCTGTGAATCTGATCTCGGTTGAGTCCCTCAAACGGTCTGCGCGGTCGAAAGGACTTGTGCAGTTCGTTGGGAGTGCGGCAGGTAGACAAATGCACGCTTTTATTGTACGCACTAGCTAGTTTGGGCAACATCTCATCCCAGTTAATCTGATCTGGCCTAATGTACATGCGCAGAACTTGCTGTAGGATCTTGTTCATTTGCTCTGTCTGACCGTTAGTCTCTGGATGACGACCGGACGACATCAACAACTTGGATCCATACACTCCCATGAGTTCTTGCCAGTTCTGGCTGGTGAAACGACTATCTCTATCACTAACTATTGACAGCGGGATTCCATTCTCACTAATCCAACAGTCAAAGAACCTCTGTATGACTAAATCAGTACGCGCCTCTGAAGGCAAAGGAACAAAAACTGCGTACTTGCTAAAGCGGTTAACGATGACCATGACCTGGCTCTTGCCATGACTGCTTTTGACATGAGTGTCCATGAAGTCTATGGACACCGAGTCTCCCGGTTGATCCGGAATGGGCAAGGGTCTGAGAAGACCTAAGGGAGAACGCGTAGATGTCTTGTTACGTTGTTAGACTTTACAACTGCGAACATACTCTACGTAGTCATTCTTCATCCCTGGCCAGGTATACGCGCGCATCAGATTGGCTAAAGTCTTCTGCCAACCAAAATAACCCTCTGTGTCATGGCATTCGCCCAGAATCAGACTACGAATCTCTTCGCTATTGGGGATGCACAGGTGGTCGGACACATTAGTCTTCTCAAAAAGCAACCCTTCGGTAGTGCGGTAATTCGGTTCAGTCTCTGGGGCCTCCTTGACTTTCTTAAGGAGCTCACTATAGATAGGGTCCTGCGCGTAAGCTTCTCAAACCCTCTGCTGCAGGTCCTTCACTATATCGAGGTAATGTACTATTGCCCCAAAGTAATCCGCTCTCCTACTCAGAGCATCCGCGACTACGTTGTACTTCCCTTTGACAGGCTTGAGCTCAAAGTCATACTGATCTATCTCTGCGGCCCACCTAGTAAGCTTAGGTGTCATCTTGGCCTGCGTCTTTAACCATCGTAATGTCTCATGGTCAGAATAGACTTTGAATTGCCTCCCAAGCAAGTAGTGCTTCCAATGGTCTAAGGCTTGCCTGAGAGCGTAGAGTTCCCTYTCATAGGTAGATGTCGCGACCTTCTCTGAAGGCATYCTGGCGGACATGAACTCTAYGGGTCTATASCCATTGCCATCGTCTTGCTGTAACACTGCGCCTATGTCGTACTGGCTAGCATCCGTAGTAACGACAAAAGGCAAGGACGGATCGGCGACCTTAAGGACTGGATACTCTATCAATGCCTGCTTTAGCTTCTTCATGGCAGACGTGCAGTCCTTGTGCCACTTACAGATTGTCTCTTTTCTCAGCAATCTGCGAAGGGGCGCAGCGATGGTGGAGAAGTTTCGCACGAACTTCCTATAGTAGTTAGCTAGTCCCAGGAACGAGCGCAACTCTGTCAGCGTACGTGGCGTGGGCCAATCTCTAATTGTTGTGATCTTGCCATCTTTAGGTTTAACGCCGTCTCCGTCTAAGACGTGGCCTAGGTACAGAACTTGGGTCTTTGCCCAATCGCACTTCTTTGCATTGATCTTGAAGTTAGCTTCCCTCAACTTCTCCAAGACCTGCCTGAGATGACCCTGATGCTCTTCAAGAGTCCGGCTAAACATCAGGATGTCATCTAGGTAAACTACAACAAATATGTCTAACCACGGCCTAAACAAATCGTTCATGCAGCGCTGGAACGTAGCTGGCGCATTGGTTAGTCCAAAGGGCATGACTATAAACTCATAATGCCCGTACCTAGTCCGGAAGGCTGTCTTATACTGATCATCAGGATGCACCTCTATCTTATGATATCCAGACTTCAAATCTATCTTGGAAAAATACTTCGCCCCCTGCACTCGATCTAAGAGATCGTGTATCCTAGGCAGTGGCTCAACATTCTTTATTGTGATAGCATTCAGACCCCTATAGTCTAAACACATCCTTAACTCTCCCTCTTTCTTAGGGACAAAGAGAACAGGCGCTCCGAAGGGAGACGAACTGGGTCGAATCCAACCCTTCTCAAGGAGCTCGTCTAATTGCTTGTGAAGCTCCTCTAACTCCCGCRGGGACATCCTATACACCGCACCCTTAGGAGTTCTACTGCCAGGCTCTATCTCAATAAGGTGCTGGATGGGCCGCGGCACCGTGCCTGTCGGCGGCTCAGTCAAATCCTTAAGCTCTTCCAGCAGCCTGGCAATCGCGGGGTCCATCGGCTTCTCCTCCGTAGGGTCAGTCACTGGCCTAACATAGGCAACAAAGACCTGTTCCTCCAATCCCTCCTTCTTCACCAGTCTGGCGAACACGGGGGCACTAAGGCAGCAGTGCGCCAAGAAATTCTCTACCCCTGACACATGGAACAGGCGGGCAGTCTTGGCCTCGCCTGACGAACTAGGGAGCCTACACTCGTGCTCCTTCAAATGGAGCGTGACCCTGGCTGCCTCTCCCCAATCCATTCCCAGGACAATGTCAAATGGGAGGCTGTCCTCTACGAGGAGAGTCAAAAAGTGGAGGACCTTCTCCACTTTCCCATCTTTCTCTAGGCGGAAATACGCATGGACTCCCTCTACGTAATCCTCTACAATCATAGTACGATTGTCCGCGAGGATACTAACTATGGGGTCTGTCAGTTTCTGGGCCTTAAGTCCCAGCCTTAACTTCTGCAGCGCTTTCCTACTAATATAGCTGCGAGTGGCCCCTGAGTCTACTAGGGCCCCTACTCTACTTCTAAARATTTATGTATCTAGTAATATAAGCTGCCCTTTGTTCTCCTTCTTCATCTTGGCCCAAGCGGGCATCCTCTCCTTCAAYTCTTCGGCCACGCCTGTGAGGGAGGTGTCTAGCGAAACTCTAACACAAGCAGTTTCAGGACAGTTGTCTAGACACCGGCCTGCAACCTCTGCCATAGGCACATGTGGTGTGGGAGTCTCCTGCCGGCTAGCGCTATTTTCCCCACATGGCCTAGTGGTAGGGGCAGTTGCTACCCCTACCGGCGGCTGCCTTTTGGCCCTTGGGCAGCCGTTCGGGTCTCTCTATACGTGGGACAATATTTGATGATATGGCCCGGGTCACCGCAGAAAATGCACTGACCCTAGTCCAATCGTTTTTGCCATAAGTCCTGGTCCAGACCCAAAGATTCCCAAGGCGTACCCTGAGGTAGCCCTDGGTGCCATCCTCCTATTCTATAGGGAGACCTATTCCTAGGACGGTTTTGCGAGGGACCTTGACCCCTGCCTCCCGCTTGGCGGTTTCCTCCTCTGCCGCCAACCCCCTGATCGCCCTGAAACCGGCTCCCTGAGGCCCGGCCCCCTTGGCCCTGGCCTCTTCCTCCTTGCGGCCTCCCTCCGACTGCGACAGCAGCGTAGGATCTCCCCTGGCCCACACCGATGTCTGCCTCCTCTAGCCCCCACTCAATTTGATCGTAGGGAATCTCATCCACACTACCCTCATCTAAAGTCAAGACAAGGCTATCCTTGGCCTTTACCTGCCCTGAGATAGTGCGGTCTTTCCATTGCTTTCCCTTGTCCAAATCCTTATGCCAGAAGGTAGACAGGGACGCTGACTTTGCTTCAAAAGCCACCACCTCACGACTAAGGGAATCGTAAGTGGTGGCAGGGTCTTCTCTCTTCGCGAAGAACTGCCCTCGAAAGGCTTCGGGCATAGCCCGGTAAAAGAGGTTGACCAACTGGCCCTCTSTGACCCCATGGTCAGGGACGGCCACCAACTCATCCATTGTACCCTTGAGTGCCCTGACACTCTTCCATTTACGAGAATGGATGGTTCGGAGCTTGTCTGAGGCCTTGACACTGCGAGCGACATCAGCAAATMGCTCGCGCAGCAACTTCAGRAATTCGGTRAGGGACGTAAATGAGGAGTACGMAAYGGGATCATCACTACAGTTGGCAGCGCGAACTAGGGACCTTGCAAAACTGGCGGCCTCATCTCTCAGCGCGTGGATAGCAATTAGGACTTGCTGATCTGGGGAGACCTGTTGCAAGTGCACATAGGTCTTAACGTTGGCCTCCCAATTGTCAAAGTTTTCCTCCCTCTTCCCACTGTAGGAATCGGGGAACTTGACTTTGACAGGCTCCCGGCGAGGAGGACGTGCTTCCTCCTCCTTGGGAGTTGCCGCCTTGACGCCTTCAATGGCGCCAGCGCAGAACCGCTCAGTCTTGTCGAGGCGGTGACCTACCTCGGCTCGAACGACGCCAACCAGTTCACGAGCAAAGTCTCGGAAGCCCAACCGTATCGAGCGCACAACTATGTCCTGACTTCTGCTAAAGTCATATTGGTATGCCTGAACCCGTGCCAGGCATGCGACGCTCCGAGCTATGACTCGCATCTGATTCGGGAGATCGGGCTGGGCGGCTAATTGCGCCTCTATCTTCTTCACTTCCCCTAAGGCCTCTGCTGCCTCTGCTGCCTTGTCAATTCTCCTCTTCTTCTCCCTCGTCACCGCTAATTTCCATTCTATCCTCTTCTCGTCTTCCAACGCTTGACGTTTAAGAGGGTCTTTCTCTGCATCCCAAACCTTCATGGCAGCTTCTTGCTGATCCTGCGGGATATACATACTAACCTCTTCCTCTTCTCCCACAGTCAGGTTRGCAACCCATTCAGATAYCCTCTTCTCCAGKTCTCCACCGGTACTACTACTGGGCTGCCCACTACTCCTTTGCAGTGGCGGACCGTCCTCTTCTTCATCCACCGCCTTCAGTTTCTCTTCTTCTTCCTTCTTTAACCTCTCTTTCTCCCTGGCCATCTCTTCTTCCATCTTCTTCAATTTGGCTGCTTGCTCCTCCTTCAAGGCCTTCTTCTTGGCCTCCTTCTTCTCCTTTCTCTCCTGCAGGATGGCGGCCATCTTCGCCTCCTCCTCCTTTGTGTACGGCATAGTGGAGGTGCCGCGCCGGGTGTCTACCATGGTGGTGTCAGGTGCACGACAAAGGTCCCACTCCTCACCACTTGGACCTACCCGGACACAAACCTACTGACCGACTTCCTAAGGACCACAGGGTAAGACCCTGTCAACTAAGGTCACTAACCCAAGACTTATTCTAAGGCTGTCACTACTGAACCAAAAGCTGATCTGGAGGCATTTAAGGAGATCGCCCGTAACTCCTCAATAATTCTTTAACGTCGCAGACAGGACGACGTGATCAGCTTGGTTCTTCCTGGCGATTTCAGCCCACAACTCAGCCGTTCCAGCCTACTGTGCCACACCGAGCAGCCCGCCGGTCTGTACCGGTCCTTGGAGGGGTTCGTATCCCTCGGGACAGTCGAGTCGTCAGACACAGATCATCAGGTGTAATAGGTCCGGTAGGGGAGTGGCTCAACCAGCCTCAACACTTAAAGACGGCCCTCGTTTCAGCCTACAGCCCGAAGTTCAGACCCTCTACACTGAACTCAGTAGACCTGCCGGACAGTACCGGTCATTGGGCTAGACGAGTTGTTTAACGAGCGCTCGCCGCTCATGCCCAGGTCTCCAAGTGCCAGAGTAGAGCTTTGGTACTACTAAGCCCGTGTAGGTTTGGCAGCAAGGCCCTATCCTTCATCCACAGGGTCCTAGCACCTAAGACAGAAGATACTCAATGCAGAAAGAGTAGACAGACAACTCAGCCAGTACCGTGGGGTAAGTGCACATCCACAGGGTAAGGGGATAGGCTGAGGGGTCAACGAGATATCACCAACTCCAGCTTGGTCAAAATCTTGGTCAGCAGCCCCGGTCAACGCCTTGGTCAACGCCGAGTCAACGCGGGCAACCCCCAGTCAACACTTGGTCAACACCCTCGGTCAACGCCTGGTCAACCCTTGGTCAACCCTCTGGTCAACGCTCCGGTCAATGCCCGGTCAACCCCTGGTCAACCCTCTGGTCAACGCTCCGGTCAATGCCCTGTCAACCCTTCACCTCGGCTATGGCTGCCGGCACCATCACCCTCGTCACCCTGGCCGTCT